GAGGCCTTCTCAGAGAAGGTCGGTGGGAGCGGAGCCTGAAGCCTGGGAGGATCTCCTTGGACAGCAGTTGGAGGAGAGGGCCGATTTGTTCTTCTGGACAGAGGGAAGAATCTGCCAAGTCAGGTAGACGGAGAGCAGGGTCAGAAGCCGTGGGTCAGCTGGTTGGTCAGTGGGAAGTAGGGGGACTGAACTTCTGGAACAGGCTCAGGAGGCAGAGGTCAGCACATCACATCCAAGAAGAGGAGCATGACCTTGTGATGACAGCCGAGGTGGGAGGGGGAGCACCTAGGTCCCAGGGACCCCCACTGAGGAGACGGTGAGGTTTGGCCTGGCTGCTGCTCTGGCAGGGCGATTATGCCCGTTGTGAATGAGCCCTCACTCTGCAGGGCTGGATCCGCACAGGGCTGCAGACACAGCCTCAGCCACGTGGACTCTTCAGGGCCTTGGGGACCACTCCTGGTGTAGGTGTTGGCAGTGAATCTCTTTCACCTGGAGAATTCGTTGGCTGTCATCTCTGGTGTCATTTCCATCTTGGTGATGAAAGGTTCATTAGAGACGAGCTTGTGGGGCTTCGAGGAGACCACACTCCTGTGCTGTCATCCTATTTGGTTGTGCTGCACCACGGACATCTTTCTCGTGACCTGAAATCCTACTTGAATTGGGGAAAGGCAGGCAGACAGACTTGTGAATCCATGGCAGTAAATAAAAGTGACAAGGCCCGATGTGGCGGGCCCCGGAGAAGTGAATGCACACCGAGTGGCAGGATGCCTTTCTGTGGCAGGTGCCTGGCAGGTAGCACCTGTTGGCCTAAAGTTGTTGCTACCAGATGGAGAGAGTCTTCCCTGCTGTGTATCTAACCATCGGGCCCAAGAATAGATGCCTAAACGCACAGTGGTGAACGAGTCCTAGTACAGAGTAGCATGGAGCCATTAGCCAGGACCGGGCCGGGTGGGTAAATAGAGATGTACATAAAGCCTGGAAATCATCGACACATGATCACGCATCCGAGTGCAAATAGGTGGACCCAGAGAGAGACGCCAAAGAAGCCTGGCATGTTGCAGCTAACGGTTAGTGATAAGAGATTTTTCTCCCATTGAACATTAACATACGTTCTTTACCTGTGGGATGAATACCCGCAAGAGGAGTGGACTTGGAAAACTCTGGTCTCAGAGCTGTGCTCATGGTCTCCCTTTAGCTCCTAAGCAGCCTCTTTGTCCTTTTTTTTTTTTTAATTCATATTATTGGGGGCTCGTACGCTTATCACAATTCATACATACCCCATGGTGTCAAGCACATTTGTACATTTGTTGCCATCATCATTCTCAAAACGTCTGCTTTCGACTGAGCCCTTGGTTCTTTGTCCTTGGTTTCAGGAATTCAGCATCGAGGAGCAGTCTGAGCACACTCAGGACTTCTACCAAGGCATGGCGGAAAGAATACAGACCCGCGGGAAAGGTAACTCAGTGCTGGGCTGACTGGTGGCTCAGTACAGGGGCCATCGCCTCCTTTGTCTGGAGGCCTGGCTGCCTGGTCCCCCAACCACTGGTCTGTCCCCGTGACCTCCTGGCAGCTGGTGGTAAGCTGAGCAGTACCTATGAGCTCCCTCTGTGTGTTTTCCAGGATCGTCGGAGCCGTGTGTAGTGTAGGCTGTGTAGTGAATCAAAGCCAACTCCTTGTGGGACTTTCTTAAATGAACCCCACCTGGCAGCCACGTCTCCCCGAGTCGGTGCTCGGCACGATGTCTTCCTGAGGGGCGTTAGGCTCACTGGCTGCGGGCCGAGAGCTACAGGGTTCAGTAATTGAGCCTTCATTGAGCATGGGCCTTAGGAAGGACTTCGCACATGCGCCGTCCCCCGCTGTGAGCACCAGGGAGCGGCAGGGGTTTGGGACAGCCCTCAGAAAGGAGAGGCACTTCCATGCAGCAGCTTCAGCGACCAGTGGGCGTTCGGTCCAAGGCTGTCTCAGAACTTGAGACCATTTCTAAAGGGTGTGTGTGTCTGTGTGTTTAATACCGCATACTTACATCTCTGGGTGCATTTAAACTTGATAGTGCATTTGTTTTCTGCTGTGTAGAGAACACCCTAAAAACAGCCTCCCGTGTTTTCGGTCTCTCAGTGCCCCCGGAAAGAGTTGAGAAGATCATGGACCAGATTGAGAAGTACATCATGACCCGTCTCTATAAGCACGTTTTCTGCCCGGAAACCACTGATGATGAGAAGAAAGACCTCGCCATTCAGAAGCGGATAAGGCAGGTTCTGTGGGAGACGGGGCAGTGAGCGGGAGTCACGGCGAAGGCGCCTTGCCTGCCCTCTTCCTCTTGTGGGCCTCTCTGTGGGCATAGAAAGGAGCGGAGCATGGGAAACGCGGAGCGGCATGAGGGGGCTCTTGAGTCTCCATCTTGCTTCTCAGCTCGGTGCAGGCAGCTGTGGACCAGCGTGTGGTTGATGCTGGAGAGGGTTCCAGATCTCCACACGAGCCCAGGAAGAGGAGGGCTGGTTTGTCATTGCCTCTGCTGGCTTCTCAGGCAGGAAGCTGTCAGCATTGATACCGAGGTCCAGGCAGTGGGTGCCACCCTCCCCCACCCCACCCCTGAGGTCCCGTCACCGGCCTGTGGCAGCTCCCTGTGAGCACAGCGGTGTGGGTAGCATCTCCCAGAGCACCCATCTTCCATGCAGAGCACACCCAAACCCTTAGGGCACCGGCCGGCCAGGGTGAGGTGTGGAGGAGATCGAAGCCAGGAGTAATTAGATGGGCCTTGGGACCTCGGGCAGAGCACCCACCTAGTGCAGGGCAGCAGCGGAAGGTCTGGAGGGATGTCAGGCTGTGACCAGAACACTCAGTGATTCAGGCTCAGGCGACACATCCTGTTGCTGGGCAGACTGAAAGGACAGAGCATCTGCTGCCCACCCCGTGAGAGGCGCAGAAGAGAAGTTCCACCTCCGCTGAGCACCTGCTGTGTGCAGGGGAGTTGGACGGGGGCCTGGTGAGATTGGGGGGGGGGGCTATGCTTGAAGGGAATGATGGAATCAGTGGCTCACGCCCCTACTAGAGCCCCTCCTCACACCTCCCCTACCGCTCTCCCCTCAGAGCCCTGCACTGGGTCACACCACAAATGCTCTGTGTCCCCGTCAACGAGGAGATCCCGGAAGTGTCTGACATGGTGGTGAAAGCAATCACAGGTGAGTGAGCCCCAGAGGCTGGACGCCGGGAGGCTGGTCCTTTGAGGGACAGATCGAGACATCGGATGCTGTCTCATCACCACCCTACAGGCGGAGTAGAGCTGCCCCACAGGGTTTCTGAGACTGGAACCAGTTACAGAAACAGAGAACCTCATCTTTAACCCACAGAGCAGCTGGTGGGTTTGAACCACTGACTTGTGGTTAGCAGCCCAGGCCCGCTGCCCCGCCCCCGAGTGCTCTGTTAGTGCTTGGTCAGCTGCCTGCACCCAGCCCGTTTTGTATTGTTTGGGTTTTTCCTTTGTTTTTCATCTTTTGTTGCCTTTATTGACTTTCATACGTGGATAGAGGGTATGAAGTTTGCTTGCTTCTTCACTCGCCCCTGAGCTCGGTAACAATGTCAACTCCCCAGTTAACTGTGTTTGATGCCCTTTCAGACCATAGTTGACAGTTCTTTCAGTTTTCCTTTCTTTGTTGAG